TCTAAATACTTATTTAGGTACTTGGTACAGAATATATTTACAAGGAAAACTTCCTAAAATATAGACCTTAAAATCAGTAAAATTGCTAGAGACAAGGAAGCTGAGAATCTGGAAGCTACAAGGGAAATACGTGAGAATAAATCAGAATAAAAAATCCCTAAACTAACTCCTAGCATCTGGAAGTTATCTGGAATGTGCTATCGGCTGGTTTTGATTTTTCTTCTCAAATGTCTATGGCTATACCATGCAGGACAACGTCAGAGTAAGCCTCGTCTTGGACAAGATGCAGGCTTGAACCCTCTCTTTGCTGAGACAGAAGAGATAAAGTCAAACAGGATTGTCCCACCAATCAAACCTTTACGTGACGGTTCGTACTTAGTAATTGCCTGCAGCCTCGACTCTCATATTTCTGTTCTCGTGTGCATTACTTCTTCCTCCCTCCCTCAATTGGAAGTTGTTGTATCAGTTTTATTTATCAGCATGCATTGTGTGGATGAATAGTTTTCTTCATAAATATGAATATCTTCTTACCTTAGGATTAAGCTGATTCGTAATTTCTAATTCGAAATATTGCTTTCAGACATGATTGATTGATGTTCCCTAATCATATACTAGTAATGGCATCTCTAACTTTGCATACTGAAGAAAAATCGAGGGAAAATACTAGTTTGTGGTTCTATTATTTTAAATGTAAAATAGATAAACTGCGAGGTTCTAATGTCCTATTGACATAAATAAAATTGGATAGGGCTGATCATTATGCGACAGGGACACTGTCATGACATGCCTTTGACGTGACATCGGTTTCTCTTCATCAACTTGGAAGACCAGCTTTGCTGATCTTAATACGTTGCTTCATTATTTCTACACGTGACTGATTTGTGGTATTTGTGCAGCCAATCAAATATTGTCCATTTTGCAAGACCCTAAGCCTCAGGAGAGTTATATAACAGGTTAGACAGATAACCTAGCTAGATAACGAGCCCCCTTGGCGCCTCATGACGTGATTATATTGGACTTCTATAGGTGGCGGATCCCCCAATAGGTCATGTCAAAATATTTTGGAAAAGGAATCAGCTGAGACTACGTCTTCCAAAGGTAAGTCAAGATGGAACCATTGTATTTCTAGCACTTTTATTTGTGAAAAAGTTCTTACTAGCTATTCTTTGTTTTGACTTTTGAAATGTTACTAACTCTTAGTTGACTCCACTTAAAGTGGGTTCTGCAGCAGAATGTGATGGTGCAAGTTTCCAAATTACGAAGAATGTCAAAATGTCCCACCAGGTGTAGTCTCTCTCTTTGTTTGGTTTTTTTCAACGTGCCATTATATTTCAGAGCGGAGTCTGTTGTCGATTAAATATCATATAGATAATGCTGGCTGCTAGAATGCAGAATGTTCATATGATGTTTGAGGCCATAGTATCATAATGCATGTAGTTGAGAACTTTTCGCAGGCATTGTTTGTCACCTGGAGAAAAAGGTCTTTCGTTCAAAGAATTTTGTTTGTGTTCTGTATATCAGTGAAATCTTCAGCTCTCTCAAATTTATATATTTGGTTTTTAAATTGTATATGTAGCCCTACTCAGACAAGGAAGGTCAAACAAATATGAGTGAGGCAGATTTGGGTTCAATCATATCAAGTTCGGGTGGTCATTCTTCTTGCGTCATTACCAATAAAGAAATTAATAGTGCTGAGGGATTCTTGTGTAAAAGGGAAACGTTCCCAACCTTTGACCTTGGATTTTGACAGGTAATGCATCCTAAACGTATGCTCATGTTATTTCCTCATTACTTTTGGGAAGCTGCTATCCTACACATTTTTTATACTCATACTGCAACCTTCTGGTACATGGGCATATAACTTACATGATAATCATATAATAATTGAAATGACGGAAGAAAGAAACATTTCCTGCCTGTTTCAAATCCAAAAACTGATGCGTACATTTGTTCAATGTTGTTTCGTTTAGGATAGTATCTGGTATACAATCTCTATTTGTTTAGATTATGATGAAACAGATTTGGCATACCCGGGTTTCAGCATTACTGTATCAGAATCTCGATGCAGCATTGCATCCGATATATATAAGGAAATGTTTTATATTTACAATATTTTAAAGCTTTTATGGCAATTGAAAAAGGCTCGAAAGCTTCAATCTTAGTGCAAATGACTATATTACTATATGTATTGGAACTTCTGATTACGAAAAAGTTATTACCTAAATTAAAATTAATTGTTCAATAAAAATTATATTTTAAATATTAAATTCTTTTCTTGGCAGGCCTCTGACATGGAACCAATCCTATCCTCAGTTGAAAGAGGAAAACTGTAAATTATCTATTTGATTCTCACTATCAAACAAGCAGAATCAATGCTTTATGTAAGTTGAAGCATCCAACAATATTATGTTTCGTAGTGAAACGTAATTACTGATCGATCACTTTGCTTTGTGCTTACTGGAACAGAAGTATGAATGATGTTTTATGCAATTGTGTTATCTTGTAATACGTCATACTTAATGGTTCTTAGTTTATATTTTGTACGTTAGGTTGGATTTCTACGTAAAATCATATTTATAATAGGTTTTAACCTTATTTGAATGTATATATTTTTCAAAAATTAAATTAATGTTTGTTATTTTCCTTTTATGTTATTGAAAGGATGGGTCATTTCCAGAAACGGATGGGATTGCTCAATATGTTTAAGCTTAATTTCATGTCTTGATATATATTTTAAGGATTAACCATTCAAGAACTTAATTTGAAAAACTTATACGTCCTTTCTCGTACTTTTTTTTAATAAAAATTAATTAACTAATACGTTTATAAAATTTTACGACAATTCAGTTTTTTTAAAAAAAGTTATATGAAAAGAACTATATCATAAAAATATGTTTTTTTATATTCAAATGCACCCATAGTAACATAATTCAAGCGGGGTACGTATTTTATTGCTATCTTCCTTGCAATTCTGCTATGGTTGAAGCAAGAACAGGAAAGCAAGTTGGGAGAGGGCTTTGTCTGATGGTAGCTTTTACCATTATGATGCATTTATAGTTGGTTCATTGCATATAATCCAATCATTAAGTCAAGAAGTCAATATTCAATCAAAGTTGTGACCCAATAAATATAGTCTAATTGTTAAAAGAAGCAGCTATACCATGTGATCTAGATGATTGAATTTGATTAAAAGAGAGATCTAGATGCTATCACTAGTTATCATGCCGCCCCGTGCAATTGCTATATATTAGCAATTAAGGTGAGTGGAAGCAATTTTTTTGAGATTATCTCCCGATAATTTCATAAGTTTTATAAGGATTAATCTAAAGTTTGAGACTGATTCAAGATACTAGGATAAAAAATATGCTCTCACCTCCACATCTCCTCAACTTCTATGCTTCAACTGAATTACTATCATTCGATGGTGAGTGAAAGCACTTTGTTTTAATAATTAAAGCAAATTGTAAAAAGATAAAGCAGCAGCGTTCTCTGTATACTCTAGGACATAGAGAATCTGATGTAAGGTGGCACATTGCGAGAAAGAGCTAAATTGCTTCGCGTGATCACATTCCACCAACAACAGTGCACATATTCATAGATTTCCGACCCTTACTCCTCTGTATCAAAATGCATTGTGATTTTACTCAGGATGAAAGAAGAAATAAACGTTGCACCAAGCTTGAAAGGTGGCAAAATAAACAACCTTGGAATTGCGTTCTAATGCACAAGGAGAGAAAGGTTTATGCCGCCGGACTTGAATGGATCACCAAAATGTTTGTTCCCATAATCTCATCCCTCATTCATTGGTAGAGTAGATCGAGCTATTTAATTTTGATTAAATATTGGTTTATTGTCAATTTCCCCTTCATTTCCCCCACTTCTTCTTGTTCCTTTCTTTTTTACTTTTAGTTATTTATATATACATATATTTTTATTTTATTTTATTTTATTATTTTATTTGTGTATTTTTATTTATTTATTAATTAATTAATTAATTTGTTTATTATTTTTTTTTACTTTTTTTCAACCGTTTTGTATCTTTCATGTGGGTTCATCTAACACCGACCCCAATTAAATTGGAATAAAGGTGTTGTTGATGTTGATGTTGATGTTGATGTTGATTGGTTTATTGTCAATGTTATATCAGTAACATGAAACAGAGGACAAAGATAAACTCTCTCATTTTTTTCATCGCATCTTGTTCTATGCAAAACTGTTAAGACTTTGAATAACAAAGAAAAAGTAGAAAACGAGAGAGAAAGAAATGTGATCGTCACGTCACCCTCGTCGATGAATAAAATCATTTTTTTCATCGCATCATGTTAGATTTGACAAAAAATGTGATCGTCACGTCACCCTCGTCGATGAATAAAATCTAAAAAAGGGTACCATTATCGTTTCAAAGATCATTGAATAAGTCATCATTTAGGAATGGTACGAGAAATACTGTATTAATTATATTAATATATGTGTCAAAAGAAACTTTCGATAATAACAAGTATTTCTTTTTATGCGAGTGGCTTGATATTAAAAAAAAAACCAAGTGAGACCCACATGCATTTATACAACAGCGCACCGTTGGAGTTTTGGATGAGTAGCAAGGAGATTCAAATCCATCAAAAACTAGATTTTGATGTTTTTAGTCTCTTCTGACAACATCAACTTTTACCTTAAAATGTATAAATTCTAGTTCTTGAAACTTTTGCAGGCCTTCTCACCCAGGTAGGACCTAGTGCAGTTTAGCACTGTAATGTTGAAAGTGACACAGAAAGAATGCTCTTAGGTGTTTGAGCCAACTGGGCTTAAAATACATGGCATTGGGGTCCATATATTATTGGAGGGTTATGGGCTTGTTCCACCATTTGAAAACACAGAATATGTACCAGTGCCATCATCGTCATGATAGATATCAATATATAATATTACTAAATTGCACCACCTCCTATTTTATTAATGAATATAAAATAAACAATGTTAAATATCTTGATACACATCTTTCTTCTCCTTTTCGCCATTTCTAACAGACATTTTTTTGTTGTCTCTCTCTTCCACCCAAACATAGAAAAAAACCCAAAGAAATCCGATTCTCTAAGAATAGCAAACCCTCAATCCCACCAAAACATCATCATAAGTAGTGTCCGCTCAACTAAAGCTATTGTCGGGCCCTGTTTAACATTTTCAACTCGCTCTGTTTATTCTTTCTTATTCAACACAACAACAACTCTTATCTACCAAACTATATGTTATGTACATTTCTATTTTGTGTTGTATATATCATCACAGTGGCAAGTGGTTTATGGATGATAGGGAACTCAAAGTGGTGATGGGTGTTCCACAAACTCCAACCCCTTCTCCACATATGTATCAGCAAGAACTTCAGCTTAAACTTTACCAAGCCTTCATATTCTCAATTCCCATACTCTTTTCCATTATTCTCTTTCTCTTGTTTTACTTGTTCTACCTCAAGAGGAGAGCTTCCTCTCTCTCATCCCCTCCACCCCACACACTTTCCAGGACTCCCAATACACAAACTACATATCCCTATTCTTCTTCCTCAGTAAGTAAGATTCCCTTCCTCACTCTCTCCTTCTTGTCTGTAATATGATATCATAATTGCACACAACACATAATACTAGAGGGACTTAGATGCTAGCTCATGTGGCTTGCTTTTTTTCTGCCCATCTGTTATCAGTAACTGAATAAACTAATATTAGTCTCTCTATCTATTGTTAATATCACAGCCCTGTCGTTTAGATCTGAAGGTGCAATTTCTGGACAAACTTCCAAGAATTTTATTTGATGAGGATTTGAGAACAAGGGATTCAGTGTAAGCCTATTCTTTTTTTATGTCTGCACTTGGTATTTTTGTTTGTGAATTATCTTTGAAATATAGTTAAGCTGTGTAACTTCTATTGGTTTCTTTTTAATCTCTCTTTCTGGACTTGCTTAATGTGTTTTGATCTCTATCTATTACACAAGGTGTCTAGTGTATATGCTTTGGACCTATATAATAATATTGTAATTTCACCTCTAGCATGCCCTTGTGATCCTTGAAATTATTGTCAAGGATTGTTGTTCTTTGAAAGCTGAAAAATTGTTAGCAGACTCTTTCAAGTTCCAAATCTTTTAGAATCTTTCATGACATCCATTATTTTCATAAGAAGTGGTATGGGAAAAGGAAGTTAAAGATGTAAAGAATATATAAAGAATGGTTTTTTCTTGTGCATAAACGACACATTTGAAGGTGACACACACCATAAATTAAGTCATAATGAATAAATAAATCCTGCACGTGTCACCCAAGTGATAGGAAGAACCCAAATTTCAAAGATAGATATTCGTCAGGGAATTTCTAGTGGACAAGTGCTATATTACTTACACCTTGGAAGCTCTTACTTTTCCCTTTTCCCCTGTATCCAAACTCTGTCCTTATTGATTTGATTTAGTAGAGTGTTGAACATCAAAATTCAAAATTTCTATGATTGGGCTAATGGCCTAATACCTATAAATGCATGCTTGAAATGAAGCTAAAAGTTTGTTTGTTTGTATGAAAATTTTGCAAACAGATGTTGTGTTTGTCTGGGAGAATTTGAGGTGAAAGAAGAGCTGCTACAGATTCCTTATTGCAAGCATGTGTTTCACATAGACTGCATACATAACTGGCTGCAATCAAAGTCCACATGTCCACTTTGTAGATGTTCCATCATACCCACTACAAATTTGCTTAATCCACCACCACCACCACCACCTATTGTATCAGAACCACCCCAACAAGGTGGTATTTCGGGCTCTCCATCACACATCATATCATTGCCTCATCGACTAGAAGATGAAGCTGGTGCTTCCTCAAATATTACCATTTTTCAAGGGAATGGTGTATTAATTAGATGATAAAACCTTTTGAATTTAACAGTCAACTGGGCTTCATGAGTCTGTAGTTCAGTTCTGTGTTTTGAAAACCAATAATTTACCAAATAAAAGTTGTGATTTACATTCATCATTTAATATGACTACAAAAAATTTCCTACACACATAACATTTGTGGGGCCCACAGCAAAAAAAAAAAAAAACTTCGGCACGCAAAACGAATCTCTATAACATAACACAATCACTTTTCCTACAACATAACTCTTATAAAACTCATAAAAGTTAGCCCTTCATTTTCTGCGTTGCAGCGGATTCCGCGAGTGCCATAAAGAACAAATCTTAATTACTCCCTACATGTTTTTTGAAAAAAAAAATATAACTTTAATATTATAATTATATATTTTTCAAAATACAAATATATAAATTTTTCCGTGCCATAAAACTTATTCAGCTTGTTTATAATTTTTTTTCAAACCAAAAAAGATAATGGGCCGTGAAAGAATTTTTGCTGACCTTAATATTAGCTAGTCAATCGAGATTGGGCTAGAAGGCCCATCATCAACGCAAAGATTAATTTGAAATAGATTCTTGTCGTTGTCAAAAATAAATGAATTAGATCCTTGTACTTGGCCACTTGGGAGCTTCCTCAATCGTTGAGCACAATTATATTAGTCTTCCCACATGGAATAATATTGACCCCAAAAAAAGGCATGGACAATAATGACATTAGTGAATTAGGTTCTACCAGAATTTGCATATACATTTATTGTCGATGACTTTACTAGAAAAATATAATATAAAAAATTATTAATATGATATTTATTTGAGCATTCAATACGAAAAGACATATAACTTAACCCTTTTAAGCCCATTAAGACTTGGGAAATATAAGAATCTTAGAAAAAAAAATTCGTCATCTTATATATTATAATTATGTACCATGAATAGTATATAATTATAATATTAATTTATTTATTTTTCCATGTCACCTGACAACATTATGAGAAAAGAGGATTTTTTTTTAATATTATAACTATATATTAAAAAAACATAGTTATAAAATGGGAGTAGCAGAGATAAGAAATGAAGATGAGGATGTTAAGGTGGATGTGTGGTTATACGAGGATGAACAAGATAAAAAATGAAGATATTCGACGAAAGGTAGGAGTACTATCGGTGGCTGAGAAGATGAGAGAACATAGATTGAGGTGGTTTGTGCACGTAATGAGAAGGCCCCTGGATGTTCCGTAAGAACAGATGTTTGTTACCAAGAGCTCAACACAAAAAAGGTAGAGGTAGACCGAAACTTATTCGGGGGAAGGTAGTAAAACAAGATTTAATGAGTGAGATATAGATTGGTGGACGGTATGCCTTAGAACGGAATGGAGAAAAGCTATAAGTATGGTGGAAGGTTAGACCCGTTGTTATTCCTATGTTCCAGATAGTCCATTTTTAATCTTTTTTCCCTTCATTTCCCCCTCTTCTTCTTTTCCCTTTCTTTTTTACTTTTATATATATATATATATATATGAAAAACTTATTTCTGCAGCTGATACACATACAGCAAGCCAGGATACGGTTCCGGATCCTAGGATACGGTTCCAGATCCTGTTTTTTTTTTTTTTTAAGAAAAGCTGTGGGACCCACTTTTCTGTGTCAGCTGCAGATAGTTGCTCTCTGCAGCCGCTACAGAAAAAGTGTCCCCTATATATATATATATATATATATATATATATATATATATTTTATTACTATTCTATTTATTTATTTATTTTTTATTTTTTTCAAACTTTTTGTATCTTTCATTTGAGTTTATCTACCAGCCACCTCAATTAATTTGAGATAAAGATATTATTGATGTTGATTATAACTATGTATTAGAAATAGTTATATTTTTGTGCAATATAAAATTTCTTTCCTGACGGATTGAGACCCCCTTAAGACTTATACCAAACTGAAATCTCATTCTTGGTAGTGTTGGCGTTCGACACTGTAGCTGAAAATAACATAACATGTTTTTTAATTTCAGTGATACTAAGCTGCCCACGAGACAGACAATTCCAAGCAAAGAAGCAGATGGGTATTTTTATTGACTTCATGGCTCATTACATTACAGCATACGATTTGAGTAGTTGATCATGTACCCCTGTTATGATTTCAATACATACCAAAAAGAAAAAGAGAAAAAATCTCGTGCATAATCCATATGAATTAAAGTCCCGAAATCATGGTTCTCACAATGTGAAAGAAAGAAAAAATCAACTTTAGCTCGAATTCTACTTAGGGCCTGAATGGGGCGAAGACAACTACTGAATTGTGTCCACCGAACCCAAATGAGTTGGAGATAGCTGCATAAAGAACAGTAAAGATCAGAAACATTGGATTTTACATTGTTGCCACTATTCACACTAAGAGATCGCACATACCAACATTAACTTCATGCTGCTTCTTAACGTTAGGGACAGTGTCAATTGTAACATCAACCTCCAAGTTCTGTGTAAAAGCGAGAAAATTAGACATATATTAATCAAGATCTTGTGGTTATCAACAAAATGGAACATATTTGATTAATAGGTTGAATTTCTGGTTCAGGAAAGTACATCTTGGTTAATGGTTGGATGTAACCAGCCTGTTGTTATTGCTTTCATTGTTGCTATAGCTTCCAAACCACCAGCAGCACCAAGACCATGACCAATCATTGACTACAACGAGGAACAAAATGCAATGATAAACTTCCAAGGTTAACAAGAGGATTCCTATTGGGATTCTGAATTTTTAAAGAGTAATTAAAGTTTCTTACCTTAGTCGCATTCATTTTCAATTCTGATGTGTCCTTAAAAACCTTTTTGATTGCATTAACCTCAGCCAGGTCACCAGCTAGTGTTGACGTGGCATGAGCATTCACATAGTTCACCTGTATAGTTTAGAAACCAACCAATTAGTATTCATCAATTTTACAAGAACATGAGAATGTGAACTGTTCTTAGAGGAATTTTTGTTACTTGTTAAAACTATTTGGAATAGGTTATATTTAAAAAAAATTTATTTACAAACTACAATATATAAATGTAGTACTCACAGTACACAGTGTAGTTTGTAAATATAACATTTTTCAAACTATTTATTACCTCTTCGGAGGAAACCCCTGCATCTTCTAAACTCTTCTTGATACAAGATGAAACTCCAAGTCCATCAGATCTTGGATCGGTCATGTGATGAGCATCACAAGTTATGGCACCCCCCAAATATTCGGCTATTATTTTGGCTCCCCTTTTTGTTGCACTCTCCAAGCTCTCCATTATCTTTTATCGGTCATAGAAAATCAAGTTTGCAGCATTGCAATTTCATTGAGTAAATAAAAGTTAATTTTTTTTAAAAAAAAAAAAAAAACTTGTAAGCCAGATTGCATAGCATTTATAGTAAAAGATATAGTTATACCAGCACACCAGAGCCTTCACCCATGACAAAACCATCGCGGTCTTTGTCCCATGGTCTTGAAGCCTTCTTGGGGTCTTCATTCCTCTGAGACAAAGCCCTGCAAGCAATGAAGCCTCCAACACCAGTAGGCATGATTGCAGCTTCAGTTCCACCAACCACCATAATATCTGCTTCACCTCTTCTAATGTGATTAGCAGCTGCATAAAAGCAGTAATTTGCTGTTGCACATGCAGTAGAAATTGAATAATTGGGACCCATTAGGCCAGTGTCTATAGCCAACAATGCAGAACCCATGTTGGTGATTGAGTAGGGAATGAAAAATGGAGTAATTTTCTTATAACCCTTCTGTATAAGAGCTTCCACACCAGTGCTGAAAGCAGTTAAACCTCCCATTCCTGTTCCCACCAAAACTCCTATTCTTGTTCTGTCCATCTGCTAGAAAAACAATGTATCCATTCATAACTTTTTGGTATCGATCCTAAGTTAGGCAAAATATTGCAACTTCAAAAAGTACTGTGACTTACATTCTGAAGAACTTCATGTCCAAGGTTGGCATCATCAAGGGCCCTCTTGCCTGCAACTATGCAATATCTCCAACAATCATCAAGGCGCCTATCATTCTTGCCATCAATATAGCCTTCTGAAGAGAAATCACGTATCTGACCACCAAAACGGACTGAGAAGTTTGATGCATCAAACCTATCTATTAGGCTTATCCCACTTTCTCCCTCAAGAAGCTTGTTGTAAAATGTATCAATGTCACTGCCAAAGACTGACACAAGACCCATTCCTGTTATTACTACTCGCTTTTTTGGATCTTTTTCTCTCTTAGGAGCTGCTACAGTTGGAGCAGCCATGGCCTTGATTGTTCCGCATTTCAGGGCTGCAATGCAAGTGCTAAGTTTCAATTAATAGTAAAGGATAAGGCAAATTGCATTATCTTAATGTCATCACTGGTGGTTAGTTATAGCAATTCCATGGTAGGAATGGAGAAAATGGTATTAGGAAAGTGTCCAAATATGAGTTTGACAATACTCCAACCAGATTAAACCGCCTTGATAGGAAAAAAAGAATACAGATTTGGTGTTTTATCTTTGCTCTTATACATATAGGAAGCAGAGATACATATTTGGGATGATACCAATGCAAATTCTAAAAATTATATGACGCCTAATATATAACATATAAAATTAATATAATTTTAACATAAATTACAAATCCTAAATTAGATTAAAGACAGTAATATTTCATAAGTCAGTTTTAGTCATTGTGAACACAACTAACACAATAAAATATTATCATTTATCTAATTATTGTAGTATATCATTATATTGTTACAAAAACAAAAATATAAAAGGAAAAATAGTTTGACATTTTAAAGGATGAAAGTTGTGTCATTTTAGCTGTATCCGAAGAATAGATAGTTATAATATTAAAGTTATACTTTTTTCTCTCTCCTCAGAATTTGTCAGCCGTGAAAAGTGAAAAAAAATACAACTTTAATATTATAACTATGAAAAAAAAGTATCTAATGTTACTTTAGACAACTTTGTCTAATGTTCACCAAAACGACGTCGTTTTTGGGTTAAAAAATTAGAATGATAAATGCCATTATAACCCTAAAATAAATTAAAATGACAAACACATCATGATTTTAGCCCCAAAACAATGTCGTTTTGGTGAACATTAGACAAAATTATTTAGAGTAACTTTAGAAAGAAAAAAAAAACGAACTCTATAATTATATACTTCCCGGAATATATAGTTATAAGCAGTTAAAAGGACACAACTTGTGTCCTTCCTTAATAGGAAAAAAAAAAATCCCAATATAAAAATACAAGTTAGAAGAATCCCAAAGTATTCCAAAATCATCTGGTACAAAACATATTTGATATCGATACGGCAATCGTTTGATTCGGTGCTTCTTACGTATATAGAGAGACACAACCTATGCAGACAACGCAAGTTGTTGGCAAACCTGGGATATTACCAAAGAATATGGATGATTACTTGTTATTCTTTCAGAAATTTCAAATTCAAGTCCTGATAGCAGTATAGGTAGGCTGAGATTTGCAAGAGGATGTTGAATAGCTCAAATCCAAAATAGAAAAAGAAAAAGTAAAAAAGTACTAATTAAACCTTACAAACCGGCTGTGGATAATGAAATAATATCATGATAAATGGAACATTAATCTCAATCAAGATACGCTATGTTCACCTATCCAGCAAAAAGAGAAAACAGGTATATTTTGTTAAACCTACTGAATCTACTTTCTAATTGACAATCTGAATTTAAGAATCTAATTTATTGGCAGCCCCAACACAGACACACAAAACACACGTATATCAACAACATCATGCGAAGTGAAAGTGAAACAGGATTTAACAAGCAATATTTGAAACCAGACAACCAGACAGAATGTTTAAAAGGTTGTTCTTACATGAAGCAGAAGTGTACCCGCTTGACATACTGGCAGTTGAAGGCATTTGCATTTTGTGAGACAATCTAAGGCCATCATAATGAACCAGAGATATCCCATTGCTTTCAGAGACTTTGTTTCTGAGCAATGCTCCTAAAGGACATGTACCAGCAATGCTAGCCATCTATCTATCTATGTGTATGTGGTTGTCTCTCACAAGATTTGATATTGATTTAAAGCGAAGGAGGGAACCTTGGATTGTCAGTGGAACAGAAGGAACTAATAAAAAAGAAAAAAATAATAAAAACAAAGCTTTGTATAGAGTTTGGCTTGGGAAGTCCGCCACTGTTTTATGTCTTGAATTGTATGTAAACAATGGCTTTGGCGATGATGGCAAAAAAATAACTAGGCTTTGAGTTTCCCTTTTCTTTCATTTTCTCTAAATCGCTTAACTACCTGAACAACCCCATTCAACCCTCAATAAAGAAAAGCCGTCCTCGGCACATTTCTTGGTGGGTCATGATTATTGTCCTAACTACCCATGCGGCTCTTCTAGTTTAGGTGAACCCTACAAATTGAGATTTTTTTTAAGTACATCTAAATTACTTATTTTTACTTCTAACTGAAAGGGTTTTAAAATTTAAATAAATAGAAGTTAATGACTGAATTACAACATAATTTTATGGCCTGATTATGAAGAAAAAATTAATAATCTATTGACCTCTCTCAATAAGAAAATGAAATCAAGTCAAATATGAAATATCACTTGCTTTAATATTGCTGAACTTATACTAAACATAAAAATGTTATATTATAATCAAATTTATCAACTTAAAAATAACTCGGACAATTCCTAAAATATGCATATGCTTAAAAGGCGTGATAAATGTCGTCCTTGGTCCTAAACAGTTACTTTACTACTCATGGGGCTGCAATTATTGCTATGATCTTCATTGCGCATTCTTTATTAAGTAACAGAAAATGCGTGCCATTTATGATAAGATAAGTCGAACACTCATAAATATATATGACTCTTCATTCCAAGGGAAACTAATTGAGGTACGGCCACCGATAGATCTTGTCCTCCTTTTTTTATGGAAAATAATGTCCTAGTCGTGCCAATCATTTGATTTCAGCGTAATATGATTCTATTTTGAAGTCTGAGCAAACACCCGATGGTAAGATTTGTGTATTTAGCATCCAAAAGAACATAAAGTTGGGATAAAGTGCAAGAAAACTTTTTTTTTTCCTTTGATGTAACCATTTAGAAGACCTCAATTATTATTAGTTTATTAAAATCAATGTTTATTTGTTATATATAGCATCCCAGAGAATTCCTTTTTTCAGATGTACCAATACAACGGAAATCGAGTAACTCGTTTGAAACTAGAGAATAGGATTTTGAAAAAAAGTTTTTTATGACTTTTTTTAATATTTGGATATAGTATATGAAAATGGAAAAATATTTCTGCTTCTTGCTGCAATTTTTATTTTTTTCTATTACGGTCACATAGAATGAGTGAGTCCTATTATAATGAGAAGAAAGATAAAAGATTATGGGATCCTCACTCACTTTTATGTGAGTGTGGCAAGAAAAATTTCTACAACAACAACAGAAATACTAAACCCTTATAAAAAAAAACACCTTTAAATGAGAGTAAATTTGGTGGTGGTAGTTGCGGTGAGGGCGATGGTGGTGGAGACGAGGTGATGGTGATGAGATGGGTGATAGCTACGATGGCGATGATAATGGTGGCAAGCTGTGATGGTGGTGGTAGTGGTGAGAATGATAAAGGTGAGAGGTTGGGGTTATGATGTTGTTGTTGATGGGCGATGGTGGTGGAGATGAGGTGATGGTGATGAAATGGGTGATAGCTACGATGGCGATAATAATGGTGGCAAGCTGTGATGGTGGTGGTAGTGGTGAGAATGATAAAGGTGAGAGGTTGGGGTATGATGTTGTTGTTGATGGCAGAAGTGATGACCAGATGATGGTGGTGTCAGGGTTAGAGTTAAGAAAATTTTGGATTATGAAAAAATAATAATTTATATTCAAACCCTTATGTATAAAGAGGAAGATTTTATTTTATTTTTTTAAAAAAAAATAACTTTTGTAAGAAAAAAAATCCATTCAAAAGACTCTTGTTTGGTACATTCAAAAACCTCTCGTTTGGTACATTTTGCGAGGGAATTTGCGACGAAAAGTAGTAGCGAAGATGAAATTAGCGACAAAATTTCCATAGCAATTCTGTCGCTATACAGGTTTTTTCTAGTAGTGTTGTGTTCTTTATATTGTGTTATATTTTTAATTTTTATTTCCAATACTATTATGGATCAACTTTATTCATTCGTATATTACAATGGTTCTAAAAATGTAGGTTCAAGCGGTTTAACCTTCGAAGGAGAAAAAAAATAAAAGTATATTGTCCGAGTTATGTCCGTTGATGACTTAAAGGAGAAGATCCATCGAAAGTTGAAGTTCCAACAAAATCAAATAATATCTTCATTGACGGGTAGAGTCCCTAGTGAAAATCGCAAATATGTGGGGTTTGATATATTTGAAGATGAGGACATGGATATTGATACATCGGAGGTACCATAAACATAGTAATCTATGAATAATGGAAACTATAAATACAGTAGCATAGATTGAGGGAACCATAAATATGGCAAACAAAGAAAGAGGACGAAACATAAGCTACGATAGTGGAGGCCACTGTCTCTGGCGCGCATCATGCTCTGGGTTCCTACGAACACCACCGTATCCTCGCTCTCCATCAGGATTATGTCTAATCTCAAAATCCTCAACAACTGCCTGTAGAAAGTCATCTTCGTCATCCTCATGTGTCTCGTGCTGCCTAGTATGGACTAGAAGTGGATTGCGACGGATTTCCTGACACGTACCCAACTAGATCAGCTGGATCAATCATCTCACTCCGGCTCGTACCCACACCAGCACTAGAAGACTATCTACGCTGATAGGCTTTGAAGCCAGAAAACCCTAGTCCAGGCTTATAGTCGATTAACCCACCAAAATAAGATGGTTGCAAACTCTGCAACCCTGTACCCTGCTGTGGAGGGTAGCATTTAATATGAGTATAGTCCATCGTAGGCCATTTGTACGTAGTAGTATCCTATAAATCCTTGTCCAGTAACTGTATGAATCGACAAGGGACCATTGAACTAGACTTGTCATAGAGAAAAAATCCACTGAATAAATGCATCAGATATGCACATGTGTAAATAATCTGGCCCTGGTGAGTAGCCGAGTGCTCGTCACAGTGGTCCCAATGACGGTTAAATCAGCTCATCTTAATTAAACCGCCATCCATATTAGTCGCAAGTGGAGTCACTCCCATGTATTGGTGCATTATATTACGCCAGTTGTCATGTGTGCAGCGGGAAACTACTCGTCCCTCATTGGGCAAACCAAGAATGGTCGTTACATCTTGTAGTGTAATAGTTATGTCCCCAACAGGAAGTGTTTTAAAACTCGGACCGGTCATCAACTCGGCTGAGGTACTGGGTCACTGGGTCAGTGGTTCAACTGGGTTCAACCGGATTTCAAAATAATATATAATAAATATTATATATTATTTTGTTATACTGATAATTGTAACATCCCCGTCTCGAGCCGGTTCAATTAACATACATATGATAAAACAGAATACAGCGGAAGACTTAACTTCTGAAAATACGAGCTAACTTTTTTTTTTCTTTTTAAATTCTCATTCGTCGTAAACGAAAATCGGGCAGAGTTTCCTCTATAAATCGGACAACTGGGGATTTTCCAATCCCTCACAGAAGCATTTCCTGATAAACAGTTTATACAAATATAATCAAATGCCCATCCATGGGCGCATGCATAACTTGGCTCAGTGCCACTATATCTAACAGCATGCAATCCAACACGTAAACATATCTGAATACTACCTCATCATATAACGTGCCTGAATACCCAAATGTACATGCATCAAAGCGACAGACATGTACAAAACATATACAGGCCATATACACAATAAAGGATCAATATCATGATCCATCAAATGCGAAAATACTAAAATACATCAAACACTCCAAAAAGGTAGTAGCCTACAGCCACTCAAAATCCAATCTGTCAACTGCCTCAGCCACGTGTCGTGTCCCTGCCTAGTGAGGACTCACCGGGAATCTGGGCACCTGAAAATATGTCCCCAAAGAGGGGTGAGATTACAAATCTCAATAAGCTCCAGGTTTATAGAGAATTCTCCATACCCCTGGCTCACTCCTGCATGAAAGTCAGATACAGAGTATACAAATACAACATATAACAGATATCATAACCGAATAGAGCATATATCCATATCATATCAGAGATGTGCGCCGTCATTCCCAAGGGAGGACCCCAAGCGGAAATCAACGCACGTGTTCCCGAGGGAGGACCCCAAAGCGGAACCAGACATATCAGAGGCGTACACCATCAGTCCCGAGGGAGGACCCCAAAGCGGACATCCGGGTACTATACAATCAATGGCCAGAGATTGTTACAGAAATCATATTACAGAAGTCATATCAGAGCAAAACATATCATGTTATCAAATAACTCTATATGAATGCATCTATACAAAGCATCTAAATCACAGTCATACAGTCCAACCATAGTTCACTAACCATGGTGGAGCACTCAAGCAGGAAAAGACTCCTTAAACATAGAGCTTACCTCTTGAAGCTTTACCAATACGCTTACTTGTGGAACAAGTTACTTTTATCGCTTCAAGAGATTTCCGATCCTTCTCAATCCCTAGGCACACCTAGAGAATAATTTACAATGCATCAATAAAATGATGCAATACCATAATTATTTCATAAGCATACATTTTATCGCTTATTTTCCTTTCTTTGCATTTTTGCCAATCCTATGCCAATACACAAGTCTAGACCTCTTTATAACCGTTGGTGTTCTTTAATTTAATCAACCATTCCCTTAGGAATTTTCAACATAAATCATGCTATTTTTCTTCAAAACTCATCACCTTTATACAATTTATTACAACACATTTTATTTAAAATAAAATGTACAAAATATATCCCTAAATACCCTATAGGTCGAATCCTACAAGGGGAATTTCCAAAGATCCTTCTCTTTTACAATACATTTTCGTTACTTCATTACAACTTGCAAACACCTAGGAATGCTTCCACTAAATTCCTATTTTGAGTTTAGACACCAAGTCCTTTTTACTTAGGCATTCTTACTAACTCATCCATTTTCACTCATTTCCAACACACTATACCTTCACAATACATAATATAATTTTTTCCACAATAACTCCTACTCACTCCATGATGGCCGAAACCTAGGAGGAAGATGCAATAGGGCTTTTAAATTTTTATATCACATGTGGATGCTTACTCAACACTATAACTTCCTAAACAACAATAATCCATCATAAATTTTACATTCTAACATCAATTATTTCCC